GTAACAATTACAATACGATATGAAAAAATATTATTTATAATACTATAGAAGAAGAAAAAATACCAACTGATCATTATAGAATAATGCTTATTCATTTTACTTACTGTTTAAACATACGAACTTTGCCAACAAAATTTCATACCCTTTGGAATAAATATTTTAATGAATCACCAATTAATGAAATTTTACCAGTTATTGGCACTCGAAATGTTCAAAATTTACAAAAAAAACTGGTGAAAAATAAATAATCGAACATTTATTTATTTTATTATTTTCTTCTTTCTCTTATGGTTAAAAGGGACAAGTCAAGTAAATCGTCATAATTTTTACTTTTAAGATTAGCTATTTTGAGGGTGATTATTATAATAGTAAGAATAAAATGATATAATTTACTAAATCGTCATATATTAAATGAAATACAAAAGAAAACAGATGGCATCATTTGTTCATTACGCGCTTCAATCAATCCGATCACCATGATGATTTATCATGCGTTAATAACCAACAAGCTGTTTGCTTGTGAAGATATTTGTTCTGACCATTAACCGTAACTTTAAAATATGATTGAGCAACAGACGGTTTAATACTATCATAAATACGCATACCTCGAAATGTACTGTTATTAACATTTGATAAACATTCTGAGTCACTTATATCTTCATCGTTGTCAGAACCTGGTAACGTTGAGCCATAATCAGCATCATAGCTGCTTTGTTCATCGTCTGATTCTGACTCAGAATCAGAAGACGCTGTTTGACTTGAATCGTTGATTTGAATTGTTTTTTCTAAATGATTTTTAATGAAAATACTGACTTCATCTATGGTAATTGAATTAACAGCTTTATTTAAGATAGTAACATTCAGCGATGATACAAGTTCACATGCATCAGCAAATGCATGACGAACTATTTGTTCGATATCACCAATAGATAAAGAATTAGAGATGCATATATGCAGTAGCTGTAAAATTCTGTAATTTTCTTTGTTTATGGTGATGAAGAAAATGAAACGGAAAACTCGGATCACATTCAGCTTCACTTTTAATTGTTTGAAGAATAGATAGCTTCTCTGTAGGGGTGCACCAATTCCAATTCGAGTCAATTCAATTCCTGGAATTGGTTGGAATTGGTTGGATTTGGAATTGGAATTGGTCGGAATTGGTCGGAATTGGAATTGGTGCATCCCTACTTCTCTGCACGTCTTAAAAATTGAGCTACAGAGCAGTTTACGATTGGCGAGAAAGGTCCTGACATAGATCGAGCTGTTCGAAACATGCATTCGTATGTTTGAGAACTGAAGAGCCAAATACGAAGAGCTTCCGTTGGTAGTTGATTATTAATGACGAGGAGAGTGATGTAGGTCATAGTATGCGTGTTCATTTCGATAGACTAAATAATATAATATTAAATGATTCAAATGTTATAGAAATTTGTTTAAAGAAAAGGAAAAGAATAATAGAATCATCATCGTATTTTAAGTCAGTTTTTAGTAAAATAAACTATTACATTAAGAAGTCGTCAAATACTGTCGATCAGATTTATTCGGTCGTATAGGATGGTTAGCTCGAAAATTAATCAAGTATTTTCATTGAATAAAAGTCGGACAAAAAAAAAGCCATTTTTTAAAATTTAATTCAACTACTGAATGGTATGCCTAAGATCAACTTTAATTGAAATAAGAAACATGCTCTAAACATACCAAAAACGCAGGGTTTGTAATAAAGAATTTCTGTTTCGATTTATCCCTTCCTTTGGACGAGCCAGAATAAACACTTTGCGATTCATCACGATCCAGTGTGTTGATTGGTGTCGATTGAATCCAAGATAGCCATAAACGACATAGAAAAGTACATAGCCAAGCATAATAAAGTCGATTAATATGTTCAACATTCTTTTCAATGAATGCAAGACGAATATATCTAATCATCGAGAGCAAACGACAATGTATAACCGGATATAAAAGCTTTCCGGATATTTCCACTAATCTATTATCTTTTAATTGGCCATCGAGATGCGACAAATGACTCGAAATGCATTGCATTAACAAAATATCTGATAGAACAACAAATAAAAAAAATCACTACTCATTTATTTACTATCTTGAGGGTGGCGAATAATTTCATAGGCTCATGAATTTATCATTTTTGAATGATTCTGCGTTTAGAAAGTTACGAATAAGTATTAGTGAATTATGAAAGGATATAGATTTTATAATTATTATATTTAAGTCATTTTTGACTAACCTTTAAGTAAATACATATTGCTCGAGTATTTTGCATTTTTTCTAAAGTTTGCACCACGCAATCACTCGAGATTTTAATGCAAAATGAATAATTTTGTCGATCTTTGGGTACAACATCAGATTTTACTGAACCATGGTCCAATTTCGAAAAGTCTTTAATCAATTGAAGCAAAAACCGAATGTTAATGGATTCACTTCCAAACATCATTGACGTTTTTGAAGAGAGAAGTCGATTTCTTAGTTTTGTTATCAAGTGAGTGGGGTCTTGCAAGCACAAAAAAGATTGTTTTGGTCGAAGATAAAACCAAATCCACTGAGAACATGAAGCGATAACGAAGGCATGATCACCGAATAAATCGTTTCGATTTATTGATTTGGCGAAAAAGCCAGTTATGACTCTCATAGCACGAAGGTATTTCGAATCACAATCTATTGAATATCCTAAGACTTTAATATGTTTTTCTCGAAATTTTTCAAAAATGTTTTTCCATCGAGAAATTATGTCATTTGATGTGTATCGACTATCAGTTCCATATGATGCAAGAAGATAAGGTGGTAAATCAATTGCCCGAGATGATAAAGGTTGTATCATATGTATATTCAGAAGATTTGATTTATAGTCATTCCCCTTTTTCACACGCAGTAGGTGGTCGCATCGTCGTTCCTCTTCCGCTAACACACGCACGTCGTGTGATTGCTCGTATTTATCTCTTTAATACAGATATAGTTATATTTATTGAATATTTCTGCCTGTAATTATTAAAATTAATATATATATATATATATATATATTCTTCATCAAGTTTATGAAAATATAATGGACAACTATAGTTATTATGCAAATATGAGCAAAGAAGAAAAAAATAGATCATGTAATAATGCAAATATACAGCAAAATTGTGGTCAATCACGATCCCTCACCACAACAAAAACCAACTACAGTAATAATATTAGAAACAATAACAAATCTACATTCAAAAGAACCGAAAGTAAAATGGACGAAAACGCAGATGAATCTGATGAAAATCCAGAAATAGATAGTGAAGTGGACGATTGGAATTGGCTACAACAAAATCGAAGAAATAAAAGGGCAAATAAAACACCTCGAACTGATTACTTTGTGCAAGGGCGAACAATAACATCATCTTCGCATGGTTATAGCAGAATGGAGAAAAACATAACACGCCACCCTTCTCCACAACATACAGAAAGAATGAAAAAGCAAAATGTCAATCATGAAATGTCAAACTTCAAAAATGATCAAAAAAATTCTTGTGATGATATACAAAATTTAAATGTTAGTAACTACAATAGAAACTCCAATAAAAATTATGAAAAAGAAAAAGATATTCAAATAATTGAAAAAGAATATGAGCAATTACATGTATCACAGCATGCTCTGAAATTTGCTGTTGAAAATAAACTTCCCCCAATTAAAATACAATGTGAACCTCAATTAAAAACTCAGGAGGAAGGCTCAGAGATCATCAAACAATTTCTAAAATATATTGAAACTAATTTCAGGAAACTTAATCCACGGTACAATCAACCTCTGGAATTTGATCATTATATGGTGGTTGACAGTGGCGAATTGATCTGTTTCACGAACTATATAGAATTATTTATTTATATGTGTGATATTAATAACTATCCTAATCAACTGAATAATATCAAAATTAAACCTATATTACCGACAAGATTACCTGCACGAAATGCAGTTATATTAAAATTTATTGATAATAAAATTAAGTTAGATGAAGTTCAGATGTACGTGAAAGAAAAATTTAAAAGTGTTTACGGAATTGAAGAAATGCTGGGAACAATAACATATAGATCGCATCATATTCGAATTGATTTATTATCAAAAGAAGAGTATATAAATATTTTAAATAGCGGGAAGTTTGTAATTGGAGGTCATTTGTATGAAGTTGACGAATATGTGCCATCGCCGAAAATTCTAATTTGTAATAAATTTAATACACCAGGACATGTGAAGAAAAATTGTAAATCAACAATAGAAGTATGTAGACGTTGTGGTAATAATAGAAAAAACAAGGATGATCATAAAGTATGTTGTATCAAATGCCATCATTGTGGTGGTGATCATGAAGCCACAAATTTTAAATGTATATTGATTTTCAAATTCAGACAACAGCTACTACAACAATTGAAGAACAACACCCATCTTCTTCCTCCACATGTTCAATTTTATATACCGCAGCAGTTCCGTGATCAAAAAGGTAACAAAATTATATTGAACAACAAAAATGATATTAAATATCAAAAGCGAGATAGACAGGACGTGTTTAATGAATATTAACACTCAGGATACAAATGTTTGGCCCAATTTAAATTCAAATACCCCATCAGCATCAACAAATAATGTAACACCAATATGGAATTCCGATTTGAGACAATTATAAGAAGAAATTCATAACCTGAAACAAGAATATGAAAATTAAATTAAAAAATTAAAATTAGATAGTGAGCATCAAGTGAAGTTGATGGCTCAAAGCTGGCAATTGCTTAATTTTCAAAGTAAAACACAAACTGATGCAATAGCGGACATCTATATGACATTATCTGATGGGATACCATCAATTATGGATTCTATGCAAAATTTTAACCACATATTAAAAGATATCAATAAAAATATTACTAATGATAATGAACGTCAACAACGAGATTTTGTAATTACAAGAATCGATGAAAGTATCAATACGGTCAATAATCGGTTACAACTAATGACTGATCACCACAAAAACTTAATGATAATCATCAACAAACAAAATGAATTACTGGTGAGAGGTATGAATTCAATAGATCAATTATCTAATGGACAGTAATTTTCATTTTTCTTCACCTTTGGTAAATATGAATGTTTGCGATCTCTTTATTGGAACGAATTCAGAAAGACGCCAATTATCGAAAATCATTGAGGAATGGAATACTAAATCTTCAATATCTAGTATCTCAAAGGAATGGCGTAAAAAAAGACCTAACGGTTCGACTGAAAACCTATCTATTATTCTCTATAACTGTGAATGTTTAAGTACCCATATTGCTGATCTTGATATTTTATTGTCAGTCTACACACCACAAATTTTCATACTAACCGGAGTTGGATCGAGCATCAAAAATCTACCAAAAATGACATCCTATTATTGGATCAGTCAAGAAGGTACCAATTCCTTTGGAGGAGTAGCAATGCTAATACACAATACACTAAAAACAAAGATAACAATGCAACAATCGGACTTTTTATTAATAGAACTTGACATCTTACCAAAACCAATTTTTGTGGGAGCAATTTATGTTCCACCAAGTAAACCTTTTCCACAAAGTCTACTTGACAAATTTATAAACAAACCGTTCTATATCTTTGGTGATTGCAATGCGAAGCACACAGACTGACTGTGTAGACAAAACAACGCTAGTGGATCTCAATTGAAAAACTGGCTAGAAAGTACTGGTTGTGAAATGATATATCCCACAAAGCCTACATCAAAAAGATCAACAGCAGTGATTGACTTCGGGATTACACACAATGCTTATGGTTGGAAAGCAGATGTAATACAAGAAGGAACATCAGATCACTATCCTGTCTTAATAAAAACTCCAGTCTCAACGGGTGAAAACAATTATTTTCGTAAAACAAATTGGAAAATACTTCAGTTTTTCCTTCAGTGTGTCTTTCAATACTTCAACAGTCTAGTTCATAATCATGATCAAGATTTTTTTTTCGCTCTCTTCTCATCATTTTTATCTTCCCTATGGGATAGAGTAAGCGAATACATACCAATAAATAAGTATCGACCACCATGGCCACAATATCTGGTGAAACTGGCTCGACATCACAACATCCTACGGAAAAGATATAGAAGATCAAGAAAACAAGAACATCTAGAAAATTACTTAAAGATGAAAAATATATATTTAAATGAAAAATCTTTATTTATGCAACAAAAAATAGAAGAAAGAACCTCTTACATCTCTCAAGGTAACAACATATGGAAATATGTACATCCTACTTTTCATCCCTATGCATCAACGTTTAAAGGTATCACAACTGATATGGGAATAATAAAAGATCATCAATTAATTGCTGATACACTTGCAAACTTTTATGAAAAGCATTTTAAAAAATCCATCTTTTGACATCGGTAGGATAGCACATGTAGAAGCAATACAAAATTACGAAAAAATCTCTCAACTACCAATCGATCCAATGACAAAAATAACATTAGAAGAAGTCGAAAAAAATTGGAAACGAGCACAAAAAAGAAATCCATAGATAGTGAAGAAATATCTGCTTTTTTACTACATAAACTACCAAATGAATACCTACAAATAATGACAGTAGCCTATAACAAGGTCGCGAAAGCAGGTGGTGTTCTTCAGAAAAGCAAGCATGCTAAAGTGATTTGTCTGTCAAAAGATGGTTTATATCCTGGAGTCAACAAGCTTAGGCCGATATCACTACTGTCAAATTTTGGAAAATGTTTTGAAAGGATAATTCACATGCGCATTCTTAGATGGTGCAGTGATAACGGGGTTTATATTGATGAACAATCTGGCTTTACATCAGAGAGAAGACTTCAAACACGTATACTATCACTATAGTAGAGGATATTCGACTAACAATCGCAGCTAATAATAGGCCAGTACTAGTAGTATTCGTCGATTTTATGTCAGCCTTTGACAATATGTGACACTCTTCGCTATTTTCAACACTTCTCAAGCTAGATTTTCCAATACCACTGCTACGATGGATTTTTCCTGGCTGAAAGATCGGACAATGTCGATTCATGTCGGTGAAGCAGTTTCACGTCCAATCAATATATTTAGAGGTGCACCACAAGGTTCCGTACTAGCTGCGACGCTTTTTCGACTACACGTCCATTTTATCCCTTCTTTTTTTTATGAACCTAGTATGTCATCTCTTCGCTGATGACTTAGCAATTGTCATAAATGGTGCATTGGAGAAAACATTCTCTAAAAATATTATGGAACTCGAAAAACAAACTGAGATGGCAATGCGAATATTAGAGAAATATGCAGAAGAAAACTTACTTCCAGTCAACATCAATAAAACTAAAGCGATGCTTGTACACAGTGTAGTTGCTCCAATACATCCTAAGGTGAAATATAAAGATAAAAATATAGAAATTGTGAACCGTTTCAAATATTTAGGTGTAGATATCACCACTAAATTAGGATGGGGTGTATATATCAATAATCGCTTGAAAAAAGTCAAAAAAATATACAACGCTCTTAGAATTATTTTCAAAAATATTCCCATGTCTCTAATTCGAATACGAAGAACACTATTTTTTGCTTATGCGCTCCCGCATATATTCTGGTTATTTTCATGTTGGTTCTTTTATACGGAAGTGCAGCAAAGAATGATAGAACACGTTTATTGTTTGGGACTCCGTTTGACATATAATCTCAACATGTGGGATGATCTCACAATCTATATATTATCTAAAGAATATACAATAAATGACTACCTATATAAATACTGGACGAAATTCATCAAACATCTTGAAACGTCTAATGAAGCACATCAGTATCAACTAACATTCAATTCATACATAGCTGCGAAGACTCCACAAAGGAAATGGTACCTAAGTATTGGAATGCGTAAAAATAGTAAATTTTTAAACCGACTATCGGCTAACGTACAGCACTCAAAGATTGATTTATTTGAATTTTTGACTTCTCACTCAAAGTAATATGGGTACTTTAAACATACAACCTCTTCAACATGCTTCTTCATATATAAATACCTGTTACAGTCGTATCAGCAGTTTGAGAAATAATAAAAAGATCATAGTAAATATAATTACATATTGTTAAGTTGCATAACCACTTTTCCGTTTTTTTTCTATTTCTATACATACCGCACTAATTTTCATAATATATACGTCCATCAGCGATGTATTATATCCATCATCTATTCGAATCTAACTTAAAATGTCGCTAACATATTACGTTTTCTTTTTATCAAACTATATCATATCATATCTTATTATATATCTGTTCTATCGTTATTAACTTTATCATGTCTGTTTATCTCACGTTAAACGCATTATTGATTTATTTATTGATTTCTATTCTTATCTTATTTCTTATACCTTTTCTTCTTTTCTTTTCTTCTTCTTCTTCTTTTAACGTTTATACTTTGAACTGTCAACCTTGTTTATAGGGACAATAAAACTGAATGTTAAAAAAAAATGTTTTTTAACCTATCATACAGTAAATTATGATAAACCATATAAATGTCGTAGTTACATCGTATCATACGTTAATGATAGTGATAATTATGCAGCGCTTAATTATGGAAATATAATTGTTTTTTTTCATAAATATAGCAATGATTACTTTGCAATTATACAAAAATATCAATTTTCAAGGAAAAGGATCTCACATTATGTAAAATTACCTTTATAAATATGCAACAAATTGGATGAAATGTGTCCACTACTCGAACTGTCAAATGATTATGAAATTATTCCTGTTGCAATGTTTCGTCATCGATGTATAATGATACCATTTCAAGATGTTTATTGTTTGTCAGAAATAAGAATTGATTCTGAACATAATTAAATAAAATATTAAACTTAATATTCTATTGATGTTTTGATAGAGTATGTTTGTTGCTATTATAGATTTTATTTTTATTTTCAGTTACTTTACGCTGGGTTTCTACCCAAGTCACTCCATCCTGCCTCCGGATTCAGTCGGGACCCGTCGGAACCGGCACCGGATAACACCAGAAGACGGCATGATTCCCACTCAAATCTGCCAGGATCCGACAGGGATTTCGCCGGAATCTTTGCTCCCGGAAACCCCGACGGAACCAACCGAAACAACTACGCCTGATCTATAATCACAACATAATCCAAACCTCACCGCTCAAACGGGTGCACAACAAGCATTTCTCCCAACAGCAATCACCCTAAACAAATTGTAACCCGAAAACAACAACATCTGGCTCACTAATGCCCACACTTAGATTAATCCGAAACCAACCTACTACACACCGTATTCATTAAACACAATACCAACCAGTTTCCTGCGCCATCTTATTGCATTACACTTCTTGAAAACATCGCCATGACATCATTTTACACCCATCGAAATCACTGATAATTAATGGAAAATGCATCTCAATGTCATTCTGGATCATGCCCACTAACGTTTTAATCCATTAATTACATTCAAAACTTATTCAATGCGTCATTGTGTTCACCAAAAATTCATAGAAAATCGCTCCACGCATCATTTTTCACCAATCAAAAGATTGTAACAATCGTACAGAATGGTTCAGATAAACTATCTCAATAGTTCCAAAGTATCTTTTCCTCGTCAAACAAGATTCTAAGGATCATTCATTATGGACCCACCCACTCTTCTCTTTGAAGAAAATCGATCACCTGCCCACCTTTGACGAATCGAAAAATTCACTAAGACATGGAAAATGTTCCAGATAATCATTCTCGCTGGTTCCAACTTACCGTTTCGTCATGAAACATGATTCTAAGCATCTTTCATTACGGGCACAACGACACTTACCTTTGAGCAAAGCTAGTCCCCTACCCGCCTTTGACCAATCGAAAAATTCACTAAGGATTGCAGAATCGTTCTGATTATCATTTTGGACTGTTGCTAGAGACGTGTTCCCTGGTTAATTTGATTCTGAGTGACATTCTATGCCGAAATAGTGTTATAGGACCTAATTTTTATTTTTAGTAATCTATATCCTACAATCCGCAAGTGGGTTTGTTGGTAATTCGAAAGGATGCTAGCGGTGGCACCAGACGGAGCAAACACGTTTGTTCGACGTTTTAAATGATGTGGAATCGTATCGACGGGTAACGTAGTATGGATATGTAAGAAGTTTATCTCGCCGTGGGTAATCATAAATGGCTCTGGATTTCGCGTTAGACCAGGATTTGGTCGTCGAATCAAGTTACATTGGTAGGAGTTATGATTAACTACTTGAGTGAGCATCATTCGAGGCGATAACTTCGGTCAGGATAAATAAATACGTGATCATTTTGCTAATTTTTATTGCTTTTTCATAAAAATTGTATTGGATCGACTATAATTTTCAATTCATGGGTATCACCGTTTGTGTGACTTGTTAAGTATCAGCTTCAATGAATCACAAGGTGTTCCTTTAGTATTCGTTAATTACATACTGACGGTTTCGGTTGGATCTGTGTTGTAGCAAGTGGCTTAACCCGGTTAGTAGGACCGTTCCGTTCTGATATGATCCGATTGGTTCCGGTGATACTGATTAAGCCGGATCTACCATGAAATCGAGCGTCATGCGGCACGGCAGATTCCGGTAAAGTTTCGTTACCAGATATTGTCGGATCACGTCGCATACGGCGCAATCGTATCATCTAACCTGATATTTTCCGGCAATATAAATCTGACCGGTTCTCGGAGAATCCGGCAACCAGATTTCATAAGAAAACAAGGAAAATCATCGGAATTCACCAGAAATTAACCGACCAAATCCGGTCCCCATGTGACATCGGAATTATAACCCGTCCGACAAGAACCGACTGATCGATAATGACCTGGGTACGAATGACATCAACAAACGTATACGAGAAACGTTATCTTACAAAGTCGCGGACACAAAATGATAAAAATATATATGTGTTGATCCTCTTTAAATGCGATAATACATTTGTTATTAAAAAAAATCTAATCTGTACGGTGTTTCAGAAAATGGTCTACTGACGATCAAAGATCGACATAAATGTTACGTTGGTTATTGTTTATTTGAAGGTGAGGATTTGGTAAAGAACTATTGTAACACCACCAACGAATATTTCTATTCAAAACTCTTATATGCTATAGAATCATTGCCAGAAGTAGAAGCTGTAGCTGAGCGTTTAGATAATGAAATGAATACTGATTTAGAACCAGATTGTGAAGCTATTGTGAATAATCATAAATCACATAAACAACAAGGGTTAGGTCAACCTTCAATTTTAACAACGTCAAATAATTCAAGTATTGAAATGGATCGTTCAACAACAATGAAAAATCAGAAAAAGGTAGATGCTGGTAATGGTTTCAACAGTACGTATTCTAAATAATCAATCAAAATATCTGTTTACTTTTAGGTCCACTAGATTCGACAATAAGATCTTTAGCCACCCAGGTGAAAAAAACGACCCGTAAACGGCCTGAAACGGCATTAAAACGTTAAGAAACGGCGCCGTTTTCCGTCAGCTCGGAAAACGAAGAGAATAATGTTAAAAGCGATGCCCGTTTTCTAGCAAAAAAACGGCCCGTAAAACGAGCTGACGGATTACGGCGAAATAGGGTGAAAATTAATGCCGTTTTATGTCGTTTTATAGCCGTTTCAGGCCGTTTCCGATGGCCTTTCAGACGACCGGATGATCCTCCTGGGCATGACGTCTTTTGACGGTAAAAGTACATTGTACTCCGTGCATGGAAACTGTTTGGCTTTCGTTGTAGATACATCAAAAACTTATGCAACACCACCAATTTCAGATAAGACTGTCAAAAAAAAATGTACAAGAAACATCACGTAAACAAGGTAAGGATTATGTACACAATAATCTTGCTGTTATTATTTTTTATGTGTTGCGGCTGCTTATCAAGCATTACGCGATATTCAATATGTAACCAAAGATAAAGAAAATGAACATGATGAAGAAGTATTATCATCATGTGACGATGTTGATGATTGTGAAATTGATGATGATAGCGACTCAACAGACGCAATGATTGGTATAACAAACTCATTAACTCTAGCAGCACGATCAAAATCAGCATCAGTTAATAAAGTTAAACCACAGCAATCCAAAAAATCCTTATCATATGCTTCCAAAAAACATCTCGTGAAACAGCATCGAAACGATTGTGCAATAAACAACTTTTTCCTTCAAGCCGTGATGGAAATCTAGAAAGAATGATACATAAAGTAATTTTCAAAATTTTTTATGCCATTGTTTTTTTTTTTGTATATATATTTGTGTTCAATAAGAAAGTTTTTTTTCGTTTGCTTTTTGTGTATTTTGTATTATGTATATAATAATTGATAAATAGAATGAAAAATAAACAACTGATACCTGAAAAACAAAATTATTAATGCGTGAACTCGCTCTAGCTGTTTACGATACGATTAGGAAAACGAACCGTCAATTAGTCCTGATATGCCGCCAGTTGACCGTGGTTAACCGCAGTATACCGAATGGTTAATCGGACGGTTTTTTACCGGCTCGAGCGACATGAGAGGTAATTTGGTTCGAGAAATCGGATTTGCTCAGCCATAATCAAAAATAATCAGGATTTTGTAAGCGATATTTTTCACTCGGATATATATGGAAAGGCATTAGCAATAGATAAAGAGATGATAGTCATATCCGCACAGCTTTTTATACCTATCTCAAGAAAGTCGCTAGTAAGGAAATGCAAAAGGAGTTGGTGGGGAATTTGATTTTGCGGCAAAATCAAAATGCTTATACCGCAATACCGCAATAACAATTGCGGTATTGCGGTATTGCGGTATTGCGGTATTGCGGTATTGCGGTATTGCGGTATTGCGGTATTGCGGTATAGCGGCAGTGCGGTATAGCGGTAGCTAGATGTTACATATTCCTTACAGAGACAAAGCGGCAAGGGGGAGAAGGTACCACCCCCACACCCTCACTAGGTACCCCTCCCCACACCCTCACTAGGTACCCTNCACACTAGGTACCCCTCCATACACCCACACTAGGTACCCCTCCATACACCCACACTAGGTACCCCATCGTATATTATAGCGGTATACTAGTACAGTTTTTATTTTGTCACAAATAGAGATGATTTTAATGAAATCGATTTTGCCGCAAATTCAAATTCCCCATCATATGTGCAAAAGATCATTTTATGCGATTCTCTATATGCTTAAAAGTTAGCTAAAAACGAATGATTCATTTTTATGTAGTTTCGTTAGAGAAATTTCCAATATTGTTCGTGTTATGCTTGGTATCCGTTAGTACACCCAATGGATCATGAATAAAAACACGAAGAAAACATCTATCTCTTTATAATTGAGGCGAAGTGAATCAAGAAACCGATAAATCAACGTCAATGTTTGAAGGGTTGCTATCTGACAATATATTATATTTTTGAAAAGTACAAATTTTCCTTTAATTTTATATTAGTACCATAGTTCTAACGAAGACTTTTTAAGACTATTTTTGTAAATAAATAAGTTGAATATTCCTATATCACCCACTGACAATTTATACAGATCATTGATTTATATTTCATTACAGAAAATATACATCGTAGAACCGATGCAGAAGTTTTATGAAGTATTATCGAGTTTCATCAATTGATTAAAATTTTTCATTTTTGTATTGTTCTTCACTTCAATGTAATTTGTTTTATTCATCGAAAATAATACAAGAGAAGAAAGAAAGAAAAAAACAAACAAACAAAAAACATGGGCAATGTAGCAGAAATTCGATCACTGCTCATAATCAAATAATATTTGTCGAATGTATATGTATATAAATGTGGGTGTCTTCTTATTCTTCCGTTTTTTAACGTACAACAGCCAACAACAACAAAAAAAAGAAAAGAGGATGACAAAACAACAGGAAATAATAATGACACTAGTAAATGAACGAACAAATATCTTGAATAAAAAAGAGAAAAGAAAACAAATAAGCACATATGTTGTTTGCCGATGGGTACAATGAAAAATACCGAAAAAGAAACAGGATAATTGTCAAGATGATAATGATATTTTTTTTATTGTCTACTTGAATCCAAAAATGCAGGAGAGAGAAATATATATGTATGTCTATATATATATATATATATATATATATATGTGTGTGTGTGTGTAAGAAAAACAAAAATAAGAACTATTGCGCCAATGTCGAAATCGTGCTATTTTTTGATGGAATATCGCCAGATGAAGAATTCGATGGTGTGGATTTATCATCGTGTTCATCTTTTTCATCATCATGATCGTTGTTTCTTAACGTCTATAAATAGAAAATTTTATATAGGATTCAACGGTAATAATACAGAATATTTTTCTTGCAAATAGTGCTAGTAAAATCAAATTGTTTGCGTAAAGAGAATTGTAAAAAAATCAATTATTAAGTTAAGAATAAGTTAAATATTTCTTATGCAAAAAGACAAAAATGAAATGTTTTATTGATAAAAATTGAATTTAACGAAAACTTTTTCAATTTTACTATTTCGCATAGGAAATGGAATATTATATCGTATTGGAAAAGATATTTCCTTCCTATATATTTAATGGAATAGAACCGGGTAGTTATAACCATCGCTCTCGCTCTCTGTGTTATCTTAATAGGCGTTATATGGAAGAATCTTAAGCAACCCATTCGAATAAGTATTCCCAATATTTAATTATTCTGTTAGATATTGATATTTATATGAAAAATAAAATCTTAATTGTTTTGTGTCAGTAAGGGATTCAAGAAGAAAAATGATAGTGAGCAAACAAAAGTCAAACAAGTGAAATTGGTGAACATATTTGCATAACAACAAAACAAGAGGGTAAAACGTAAGAAACAGAATGATTGTTGTGCAAAGGGAGTAATAAATGCAGTTTTTGATGCATACAGAGCAATAGCCAATAGATGGAATGTACTAAATAACTAAGAAAAGAAAGTGGAATAAAAATACCGCGTCGATGTTGTTGCATTTCGCTGAAAGACATATGATGTTGTTTTTTATTCAATTTGTTTTTATCAATTAATTATATTTTCAAATACAAGAAAAAATAGTTTTTCGAATTACCCCGCTGTTTGAATTTGTTGTTGCATTATTTGTTCCTTTGCACATTGAATCATAGGTGCTTTCAAAAACAGAACGTCTGCAGAGAAATAAAACATAGGCAACAATATTTCCTTCTATGTAGAAGCAAACGAAATTTTCTTACTTTGAAATAAAACCGCCGCCAATTGGAAGTGCATCTCGAATCGATGGTTGTTCATTGAGGGATGTCACAACTTGTTGCCAAACTGTACTAGCATCTAAACTGGTCTTATTTGGATTTCGATTGTAAATTTCTAAAACAAAACGAAATACGATCGTGTTAAAAACAACGAATAATCCAATTAAAAACATATCAAAATTGGCATTTAACAGACAGTAAAAGATCGCATAAATCTCAGTCAACTATAATAATGTTTTCGCTTATGAATGGCTTACGTAAATAACAGGATCCATAAATCTATCAAGGTCGCTGATTATGGTGCCACTGTCGGTGGGTTTTCGCAGGTAAGACATTATTTCCTCTTTGTAGAACTCGCAAAAATGGTCGTCATTTGGACACGAAAATATAATGATTGAGATTTTTCTCATTTCTTCGATTGTAAACGATGAAATAATCAGGTCATCCTACTCTCATGTCTGTCATTTTCTTCTACCGGAACCGATCCTTATTTCTTGATCTGACAATTGTGAAATGTCACGAGTGAGCATAGTACATGATATAATGATTCAACAAAACTTCTTTACATGTCAGAATATAATTTGTTAATCTCATGAATATTCATAAAAAAACCAAAGGATTTAGTTTCAAAATGAATAGAAAATTATAATTATATTAAACTAAATATGTTTTGTTTTCGTATTTTCCTACCAGCAGTCTTCTTTCGAATTTCATTGTCAAGTGCTTCATCTTTTGCTTTACATTCTGGACTTGGTATTGGTGCATTTTTAAATGCAATTATAATCAAACTCATATTATCTTTACTACCCTAGAAAAATAGAAATGTAACTTATTCAAAATAAAACTTCGGCGTTCAACAAACTTTATATAAACACATGTCAAGTATTGAATTAGCTATTTCACAAAGATCATCGGTTACACGCATACGGCCAAGTATATAAGTTCCTAATTCTTCGTTTGTCATTACATCCCAAATACCATCACAAGCAAGTACAATAAAAGCAGTCTGTTCATCTTGTTTTGCTTGACGCGCATAGAAAGTTATTTCAGGTTCTGGTGAAACTAGTTGTTGATCTGGCCGACGATTTGAATTGTTTTTATATTCAAAATCGCCAAGAGCACGTGATACAGCTAATGAACCATTAACTCGTTGAATAAGAACCGTACCACCGGCCTCTTGAATTCGTTGACGTTCCGCTTGATCATCTAAAACATTAATTTAATCGAAATAGTTATTTAGCACAAACTGAATTTATTTCTACTTGGTTTATGATCTTTCGTAGCAAGAAGAATTCGGCCATCAGTCGATACAAGTATAGCTCGTGAATCGCCAACGTTGAGAAAATAAATTCGTTCAAGGTCAATTAAACATGAAATTGCTGTTGAACCACTTTTATCATCTAAATAGAATAGCTATGATATTTCGAAAAATTTCTTTCAGAAATAGAACAAACCTGGATTATTATTACGATTTTCTTCTTTCCATTCATTGTCAAATTTGAAATATGCATCTTTCATAGCCATTTCAAATTTATTAAAATCAAGTTGTGATGATGTTACATTTTGTGAGGATTTTAAATTAGCATTTTCTTGTACTAATCCGTTCAGTGATGAAATAATACGTGGATGAAGTCTTTCAGCTGATTTAACTGCTGTACGAAACCCTGCATGACCATCGAATATACCAAAATAGGACCAAGTTGACCAACGATTATCATCTAATTTAAGGACTGCTGCATGCGCATCTTCCATATCGACACTAAAACAATTCGACTATAAAAATAATAAAAAAGATTCGTTCAAATCAACTGACCGCCATCCTTGCATAGATCCAAGACCATATCGAAGATCTTCATTTTTACCATTGGCATTGTGTTTATCGGTCTTCGGTTTTTCCAAGAATTGACCCATCGCTCTATAGATTAATAAACTTATTTCAAATATGAATCATAAGGTTTAGCATGCTGTCTCTTCTATATAAAAATGGCTAAGCAGAACAAATAAATAATCTCGAGTAAGAAAATAAATCCAATGATTAATGAAAGAAAATACTGCCAAACTTTCAAACTTATTCTCTATTGTTGCTTTACTGCTTTTTATTTCACCTACCGATAGTTTGATATATATGACTCTCTCGTCATCGCTGAAGAAATAGTTGCAGCAGGAATGTGAAAAAAATGTCGAATGCGTGACCAAGTATCACTTTCGAGTGGTGGTGGTGGTCGTTCTGCTGTATGCGATACGCAATTCGATCGATTACGCGTTACAGGAGTATTTGTAACGTTTTTTCGAAGTAAGGAGTCAAACCAGTATGAGAGTGATGATGATGATGATTCCGACATATCTGTTTCTTTTTCTTGTCTTTATCTATTTGTATCACGAGTAGTCGCAACGCACGTGTCTTTTAGGAATTTTGTTTGTGTCCTCTCGATCTCACGCACAATGAAAAGAAGCTTTGCTATTTACTATGATTACGTTCTTTTTTCCTCTTTTTCGAATCACATAGTGCAAAGATAAAAGGAAAAAGAAAAACAAAGCAAGAACAGATCTACATTGGTTTGTATGGAGAATAAAAATACACACCTGTCTGTTTACTATGACACGATATACACCCACGAAATATAAGTTTTGGTTGCTTGATTTAATCGTGATCGATCAATACTCTAGAAAAAAAAATGGTAATTAAATTATTTTATCGAGAATAAAACAGCGAAGTCATGGTTTCTTACTTGTCAAAAGAAAACATTCGTTTAAGATCAAAACCGAAAAAGCATAATTTAATTCTAGAATACAAGAAAAAATAATCGAACTATTCTTTTTTAACTACTTTTTCTAAGAAATCATTTCGCCAGTGAAAAAAAAATCTAATCTCCGACTTACATATTTATATTAAGATGTTCATCGAATCGGAGAAACATAATCAATATTTCTTCAATAATTTAATTCGTAGCATAAATATTAAAACGCGCGATATTATAAAACGAAATTTTTCTAATAGCAAAAAATATCCAAAATTCAACAGAACTCTTTGTTTTAGTTGATTTTATACAGTTTCAAGAAAGTTCAATCGTTTTATGTCTTTTCTTTTGAGAAGAAAATTATTGTAGAATTTTTCTTAAGCAAGGGAAATTCAATATTAGTTACGGTCGTAGGAACGAAGTCTTGCAATTGATAAACCGATACAATGAACATACTATGCAGGCGTTATCAATTATCAACATTCTTACTGTTCATTGTTTTATATTATAGAAATCAATATGAAACTAGTCTTTGAATATGACTTATATCTTCAATCATAAATCTCTGTTAGTTTTTTGTAACAGCTATATGATAAAATTGATCTCTATGCAAAGTTTAAACTTAAAAAACTACGGTATTCATTAAAAGAACTATCCTCGAAGTAGAAATTCTCTGCAGTACTAAGCTAACGAGGGAAAGTCTCCAAGTAATACCAACTATTCGGGTTCATATTGTGCTCAAAAGTAGAACCTAGGGAGAGTAGAAAAAGTCTACAAGATTTCGTGCCATTAGGCTTTTCTTTCAAAGTTATGACCGTTTTGCTATATTTTCGAGCTCGGACAAGAAATTTTGAACTGAAAATTTTCCTAACAATAGGTCTCATCGATGCAAGAAGGTTCCAAAAGTTTCAGTGAAAACGGATGCATCATTCTCGAGATATTGAATATTGAAGAAGTCAGTTTTACAACATTTTTATGGAAAATGGCTGTTTTTATCAATATTCAATACCTCGAGAATGATGCATCCGTTTTCACTGAAACTTTTAGAACCTTCTTACATCGATGAGACCTATTGTTAGGAAAATTTTCAGTTCAAAATTTCTTGTCCGAGCTCGAAAATATAGCAAAAAGGTCATAACTTTGAAAGAAAAGCCTAATGGCACGAAATCTTGTAGACATTTTCTACTCTCCCTAGGTTCTACTTTTGAGCACAATATGAACCCGAATGGTTGGTATCACTTGGAGAGATTTCCTCATAAGCGCAGGAACTTGCCTCAGGACATTCATAGATAATTTCTCTCATATAATCCTGACTAAGAAAGTAATTTATTGCTCCAACAACTTCCGTTTTCAGTTTGCAATATTTTATTTTTCAAGTTTCTATTTAAACATCTGGATCTATGTATTATTTTATGATAACAAAATAATGCATTTTAACTGTGTAAGAAAAATCTAGATTTACGTCTAACATGGTTTGTGGGCGTATTTAGCTTTACATGTTTAGATTAATAGTTTTGAATAAAAACTAATCAATGAAGTCGTGTTTTAAAAAAAGTGAAACCTTTCGAAAATATTCAGCATTAGTGGAAAACAATTCTTTAATCGGATTACACACAGCTCTCCATATCTATCATAGAAAAAAAATGCATTTTTTGGGATTCACCTAAAATATTCCCAAATAGAAGAGAAAAAAAAATTGTTTTCCAGCTTCTATTTTGTTAAACACATTACTCATTTGATTCCCAAAAAAAGAAAAGATGGATCCAAGAGAAGAAATAAGCTGACTGTAAAATTTATAGTTCGATAAGAGGAAAATAAAGTTATTTAGCATAAGAAAAAAAAATTAAAAAAAAACACCCTCAGATTATCTATTGAAGATTTAAAAATAGAAAAAGAAAAGTTTCTTCTGCCCGATGAAGCGTAACATTTTTATGAGCATTAATGAAAAACGAATGATGGCGAGATGTGTTCAAAAATGATCTATTTTTTTTTTGTTTTTTCCTGTCTTTTCTTTGATTAGATCAGCGTCGTCACCATTGACAATGTATATTTGTTCTCTATTTTTGACGATCATATTTTTTATTGGAGCATATTCCAATCAATTCAACTTGCGCATAGATGTCGACGTGAAAATTAGTCTAGGATTTGACTATTTTTCGCTTATTGATTAGATTTTTCGATTCTGTTTCTGTGCGTGTATGATGAGAAAATTAGAATTATGAGAACTAGGTAAATACTCGACGGTGCATGCGAAAATATTTCGAGAAGAAAAGCAAAAAAGCAATCCAGGTGATAAGAATGTAAAACGAATCATTTTTTTTTCTTTCATATAGATTAATGTTTTAATTTGAATATTCTGAACAAACGTTTGATAAATATTCGTAAATACTCAAGCAATATTAATTCATGTATACTCCATTGAGTCGGTAAGAAAATGCAGCTGTCGATACGGCTTTTCTTTTTTTTGTTCTTTTTATAAACTGATGTCAAAAATCCGAATAACTAATAGAGTAATTCGTTATTTGAATGATATTGATTGTAAGAAATGATTAATATGTATGTATGTTTTTCAGACATTAATCAATGGGGTCATTGAAAGTCGTCCTGTTGACAGAATCTAATTCACTGGCGGAAAATGCTGCACTACCATATAAATATGATGGACAAAAACTAAAAGAAAAGATTCTAGCCATCACTGAAGAACTTCATTACCGATGTGAATGTGTAGATGTACATAAGCTTGATTTTCAAGAACATGAATCAGTTAATAAATTTCTCAACGCTGATATTGTTATCATGGTGAATGTCAATTAAATTTATTGATTAGCTTTATTTGCTCTATTGAATTCTGATTCTAGGATGTTACAAATCAAGATCAACGTCCAACATTTATGTATCAAAAAGGTAATCGTGAAAGTATGGATTGTATGGACGATATCGTATTAATTCAAGCCAGTGGTGTAGAAAATGATAATGCTATTCAAGATCTCAAAGTAGAGAATTTTCGATTGATAAATCATTATTTGAACAAGAAAAACAAAATTCCCGTTTTTTCTTTACAGACAACATGTAAAATAAAATTATTAATTGTTTATCGATATGATGAAGTCAAAGATGCTTTTTACGATACAACACAAGCATCATATCCATATCCATTGCTGGATACAAATCTGAAAATTTTCTTAGAGCGAGCTGCTGATAATATACAGTAAAAACAAAAGTCATAAATTGAACAAATAACAGTTAAATATTATGTTTTTCTTCTTTATACAGAAAAGGTCTTGCTGATCGATACATATCACGTATGAATACACGTAGAATTGAATTGCAAGATAGCAAGGCTTATCGTGATGTATATTCGGAATTTCGTATCGAAATAAAATAGTTGATTTCTTTTTTTCTCTGTTGTAAAGTTTTTATGGAACGAAGTTTGTGATGAAATGTTAAATGAATCGAAGCAAGCCTATGTAACACCAAAATTAATTACAAAATTAATGTATGCTTTTCGAGATATTCAAGTACGATTTAGATTAGTTGGTTCTTTCGAAGGAAAATTGCGTTTTGCTTTTGCTTTTAAGGATTATGAATCAATGATAATGTTAAATAAACGTTGCGAACAATTAGGAGAATTAGCAAAAAAAATCAAAAATAATATGATGATTTCATATTTAACTGCATTTGCTCGTAGTCGGTAAATATTATGATAACATTTTTTTTCTTCTTCTATTCGACTGAGTAAGAAAATTGAGATTACTGTAATTGTTTTTGTTTAGGCGCAATCTACCGGGTGATCGTGACGAAGCATTGACTATCCTTGAAAATTTATGTCAAACGAAAAAAACTGAAAATGAATTATCCAATGATGTTATTTGTTTATGTGGAAGAATTTATAAAGACAAATTTACTGAATCACTCTGTCAAGATCAAGATTCGTTAGAAAAAGCCATTGATTGGTACAGACGAGGTTTTGCTGCTGATCCTAATATTTAGTAAGATCAACAAAAAGAATCTTAATAATTAATTCTTTTGATTGTGAAATTTTAGTGCTGGTATTAATTTATTATTTCTGTTGGCAATTCGAACAGACGATTTAAAGAACAGTGAAGGATATCGAATCAGTAGGTTCTTTGAAATTACAAGGCTTCTATTGATCTAAGAGAGCTGTATGTGTTAAATTGTAGAAAGCTTGATCATGTTTCGCAACGATCTCCTAAGCTTCTTCATTAATCGGTCTTGAACTGTAATAGAGCGCAGTAGTCATTTATACAATAAGCAAATAAAGCTGTGATACGTCTAAGTAGGCATCTTTTTTTTTCTTAAAAACAGAAAGTGACGGAAATCATTAAAACTGTTCGAACTGCTACAACAGATTTCCTGTCGTTTACGATGAGATGAAAACTCAGGCAGACTAGCTTCCTGCGTATTTATTCAAATTTTAAGGTTTTTGGCCAAGCGTTACAGAACTTCGTATGCTTAAAAAAAACATACTATGCATTATTAAATACATGATCTTTCGCTGAATAACGTTTGATAAAATAAAAATCTATATATAAATATTTTTATCGCTTTCTCAGAAAAATTTATTGAAAAAACGATAAGCTCAACGGGTACCTATCTATTGATTGGACACTGCCAACAGAAGTGACACCTGGATTTCACTGTTATCGAGCGTCTTTCTCAAGTTGAAAATATCATATTCAACTACGCTAGAAATAGGCCTATTATCTCTTTCATGACACATATAATTTTCTAGATTCAATGAAAAGCAAAAATTCATAACACATCTTATTTGTCTTAGTTATTCAACTCAATGCCTTACTCGGTAAAAAAGGTCGTTCACTTCGAGATCTAACAGATTATTGGGATGTAGCAACATATTTCGAACTTCATGCTGTTCAACGTGATTGGGCAAAAGCATGTGTAGCTGCTTTACACATGTATTTGTTAAATCCACCTATATGGTATTTAAAATCTACAATCAACAATTTGAAAATTCTTCATCAAGCAACGCGCATGCGCAATCAACAGAAACCTCGCGAGCAACCGTCGACTAGTTCCGATGATGAAGATGTTTACAGCTTTTGGATCGACTATTTTAGCGATGCAATAAATTCACATTCAACATCGAATGAAGAAAAAGAATTACCAGCACAAGTACCTGTAAGTTAGAAGAAGTGACGAGAAATTTGTTTTTTTTTGCTCATCGAAATTTCTATTCGAAGATTCTTGTTTGTGATAATTATGAAAAAAACGATGGAACAACATTGAAAAATGTCTATGTTGAATCACATCTACAATTAAATTTGCATACGGGTAGCGAACCTGAAACTCTCGTTATACGTACACTTGAAAAAAAAAAGCAGAAACAAACAGAAGAAAGTGTGAGAACCATCGATATGAATTCAATTAGATCTATTATGTATGACTTGTTAAGATTAGAAATTATTCAAAACTGATAATTGTTTTTGTTTTAGAAATGTTAAACGAGATAATCGATCTGTTTTTCTTTATGCATATGAAAATGCAGAAGCATTTTTGTCTGTTGAACTTCAAATCTTTTTCTCATCAGCCGAACGTCGCACGGCGTAAGTTGAAATAGAATTTACATTAAGATTTTTCTTTTTAAATTAAAATTTAGATTCAACGAAAAAATGTCTAAATATCGATTACAAACGAGCATATCTGAAGTCGAACCGAAATTTGATGTAAGCGATTTAGATAAATTAAATTAGTAAATTCTAATTGTCGGAGAACAAACTAGCGCAACAATGCATCGGAACTTACACAAAAACACAAATTAGAGTTATTTCCTTTTCTTCTTATAGTAGAAAAAGAAATTGCTATGACCAGTTGGTTATTTGCTCGACAGATCTTATGAGTTAGAAAAAAAAATGAATTTAAGAATTGTTTACCTCAGACAGAAAAACGATTTCAATGTTATTATTCGATCGGCAGATTTTGACCAAAGAGAACTCTATTCGTTAGAATCTATGGCAAGACCATTGATGCAGTCTAAGATCAGAAAAGTAAACATCCAATGAATCCCATTGTACTTTAAAGTTGTCTATCGAGTAATGCAGTAAAAATAGAATTATGACAGATGTCATCGATTGTCTTTTTAGAAAAGTTTTGAACCGACTGCGTCTATTAATAAGCATAGCTATTATTTCGACTAGAGATTACTCTTAAAGCTTTAGCTAATATTTGTTTCATTATTATTCAAACCTTGAGTTTGATTATAGGCCTAGAAAAACATTCTCACTAGTAATAGTTTAATTAATAAATTTGAGAACAGTTTTCTTTGCAAATATCAAAATTAATTTTTGCACGAGAATCAAATAGAATGATATTGCCGATAATTGAAAGGCAACAACATTCAATCAGATGAATATCTATTTTCAGTGACTGTAGTCGACAGAATGCACTTTAATTTAATGTAAACACATTCGGATTCAGCTATGCATTACGTGACAAGCAAAACGAAATTCTGTGGGCACCTCTGCTTTGATTCGCTAAGAACCTCAAGCGATCATATTGTGATTGATATTTGTTAATCTAAAATAGGACTTGAATTTGTAATTTTCAAATAAAACGATCTGATCTAATTAAAACAGTTCGTTTATGTTCTCGTAACTAATCCTGCGACAGCATATCAGAATTTTAAGAGAGAGAAAAAACAATTTATTTTAGTTGGTCTTCGATCGTGATCCACATGAACAACGTACTGCACTTGGCCAAGGTACATATGGAAAAGTTTATGTTGCACACGATCGTTATACATGGAAAAAATTTGCTGTCAAAGAAATTCCCATGCGAAATCCAGTATATACAGATGTATTAGAAAATGAAATCAAAATTTTATCAACACTTAGCCATAAGAATAGTTCGTTTTCAGTTCTTTTTTAAGTAAAATAAACTTAAAGTTTTTTTTTGTTTTTGTTTCAGTTGTTACTTATTATGGTTCAGCTATTGATCGGTCAAAAAAACAGCCTGCTTTTCAAATAATAATGGAATATGTTGATGGGTTTGTTAATGGGAATCATTTTTTGAAAATACCATTTCGATTTATATTCTAGCGGTAGTCTTTCACAACATCTATCAAAGTTTGGACAATTTCAAGAGCCTGTTATTAAAAATTATACTCGACAACTTCTGGAAGGTTTACAATATTTACATGAAAATCATATTTTACATCGAGATATTAAATCAGCTAATATTCTTGTGAATTCAAGAGGGTAAAATGGTGCTTTTTCTTTAACGAAATGTCTTTTTTAAACTATAAATCGATACTATAGAGAAATAAAAATTGCTGATTTTGGTACATCGAAACGTCTCGCTGGTCTTCAACTTTGCACAGAAGATAGTGTTGGTAAGGGAAGTGTGATTGAATATTAATTTTTTTAAATAAAATTTATGATTAGGTACGTTACAGTATATGAGTCCTGATGTTGTACTTGTACCTCCGATGGGCTATGGGCCTGAAGTAAGACTTAGGAGGTAACCAAAATGAACAAACAAATTGAATATTCCGTTTCTAGGTTGATATCTGGAGTGTTGGATGTACTGTTATTGAAATGGTTACTGGTAAAATGCCATTTCATAAAAGTGAACAATTGATTGATTTAAATGTTATTGTTAAAATTAATTTAATTTAATTTAATTTTACTAGTTCTTAATACCGGTGCATTATTACTAAAGCTTGGTAATGAACGACAACCACCTGATATTCCACCCGAACTATCAGACACTGCGAAAGATTTTCTAACCAAGTAAATAGAATCTATGATATTTGCTATTTATATCTAATTGATCTTTCTAGATGCTTTGAACCCACTGAAAAACGTCCATCAGCTAAAGATCTATTAAATCATCCATTTATTAAGTATGTTCGTTTTTTTTCTTATGAATTTATCTTATGTTGAAAAGTATGAGTATCCTCGCTCTATTTCGATCATTTCTGGTTCTCAGAGAGGCTACCACATGGTTTCTTCGCGGACCATGAATGGCCAGGAAAAAACGCAGTCTCACACTCGATTTGTTGTGTTATGAGGTCTATGCGGAAATGCTAACAGTGCAAAGAATCAGCTAGACTCTAATCGGAAGTAGATCGAGCTGTTTCATGAACTTACGAGTAAAATAGACAACGTTGAAATAACAGCATTTGAATTGAAAAAGAAATATTGAACAATTTATTTTATTTTCGATTTAGAACCAAACCTATATTAATAAGAGAGCCAAATAGCAGTAAGTTAGATTTTATTCCATGCAAATAAAATTATTAATTTCATCGATATTCTAGATAGTCATGGCGAAAAATTGCATGATGGGTAAATGTTACAATAAAATATTCATCATAAAATATTTTTCCATCGCAATGAATAGGTCAATACACGTATCAGATTCTGCCATGCCATATCAACGAAGTGTTAGCGAAGAATCCGGCGTACTCGAGTATGAAAGAACAATTTTATTGAACGTACTCGATAGAATAAATTATTCTAGGCCAGCACGTGGACTTGACCCACAAATCTCAATTGATGATCGTCGTCGAACAGAATTAATGAATATTCTACGCGATAACGACAGTAGAGAAGATGTAGGGGATATACTTGTTTTGCGAAAAACTGTTTCATCGATTCGTGTTCTGTTCTAGCTGCTTGGCCAATGGATGGATTTAATCGATGAAAAAAATGAAACTGAAGTGTTAACAATTGTAAATAGAATGCTGTTCTTTCGTGATAATAAACGTTACGTTCAATTATTTAGGATAAATTACGTGTGTTACTATCGGGGATTTACGAATATTTAGAAGACTCGAGTGAATCGTCATTGCAAGTTGCACTCGGTATGTAAATATATTTTAGGTCTTTTCAGGATTTAAAAGTATATTTCTAGATAAAATATGTGATAAATCGGAATTGGATAGTGATTCAAGAACTGATCTTGAACGAGCGTGCTATCTTTTCATTAAAGCGGTATGATTCTTTTTTCATAGATAAATCATTAAGTATAAATATTGTACTAGAAAAAATAAGTTGCCGCCGAAATATCAATGAGAAAAAGAATTAGAAAAAAAACTTGAATAAGCTTTTAGGAAATATGTTCAATAAATTTCTCATATTAATTATTCTTAGACGAATGCTGTACTTTCATCGAAAAATAGTTTACCTCCACATGTTCTATTCGCACTTGATAATATTATTCGTCGCGTTGCAGAACATCTTGTTGGTCTTATTCGACCAGGTGAAATTATCTTTTTTTCTTTTCTAAGAAATGATGGTTGTTTTTGTAGATTTTGTTTCCTCGATCACCAGTGTTGTGACACCCATGACGCCAAGTGATATAGCAACATTTAGTTCGACAACTTCGCGTTCACCCTTATTGTTAAATTCAACGGATGGATTATCTGAAGAAATAGCTCGTTTGCATAAGCAATATGCAAAGCTTCTTGAACAAAATCAAGAGTAAAACAAAGAAATTTATTTTCCTATTAAAAAATTTGTAATTTGTTTTTCTATAGCCAACTAAATCGATTAGTTAGCGTTGAAAATGATAATGCTGTTCAACTATCTGAATTATCATCGAAGAAAGAAAACAATAGCTCATCGAGGTAAATGTTGTGCTTAATTCTGTTATGTTGGGAAGAATTCATTTCTATGTTTTTGTTTGAATACGCTTTGACACTTTCTTCTCCTCGTTCAGTAACTATTCAATTTTTCGACAAGTATATGAAACGATATTCAATACAATCAGGTTAGATATTTTAACAGAGTGATGCACAATTTACAATTCCTTCTTTGTCTTGAACTTTGCTTTGATGAACTTCTTTGTTTACACATCTGCATGTTTATATCAATTGAAAGAGGATTCATTTTTATTTTTTAGCAAACTTTTGGGAATTTTTTTACCGCTGGATTCATCGCCAACAATTGAAAACCTGGTAAATTTGTTTTCATTAAAACGTTTTTGTGTACTCAAAAAAAAAAGAGTACACTAGAATCGGCCAGTGTGTCCGTCCGTTTATTCGATAACTCTTCACAATTACATTCGATTGAGCTGAAATTTTGTGCACAGAATTGTCTTATCAATATCTAGGTCGAGTTCGAAGATGAAAAGGATCCGTCAAGAAATGGCTGAGTTATCGAAAAAATTGTCATTTTTGATCAGACCATCCCTGAGGGGGAGTACAGGGATTTTCAAAAAACCTTTTTTTTCTCAGAATTGTCCTCAACATATATAAATCGACTCATTTTTTAATGCTGATTCTGAATCTGATGTCAGTTCTGAACTAAATCGTAGCTTTCTAACGAAACATCGCCTGAGAAACGTCTCAAAATGCACAAAAACTGCATCCAGAAATCAAATTGCCTAGTTTCTCATGATAATTTTGATGTTCCGACATTCTAGAATGACTCGTATGTCCCATGTACTTTTTGCAGTACAAATAACTCTCGGATGAAATCCGAAGTTTCCACATTTATTTCTTCGAATAACTCTAACAAATGAAAATTCTTAGAGATGCACATAATCACGATTTATTGACCCAGGCGATTCTAGCTATTATGTTGTCTCTACCAATTCACAGAAGACTTTTTCACATGTCTAATGCCACTAGTTTCAGTTAGGTTCTTTGCGCTGAGATAGTTTATACATGAGTTCTAGGAATTGTTCAATCTATTATTAACTAAGAATGTTTATTTTGCAAGGATTCCGAAAATTTACCAACACCAATCGCTGAAGAACAAAACGCATCAATACATTTATCTCCGATGGCGCCTGCGTCGCAACATATATCGTAATGTTTCATTTTTGATTCGACAAAAAAAGAGCATATTCTTTTTAAATGAATTTTTTGCGTTTTTATAGACGATCACGCTCATTGATAGCTATCGAACAAGAACATGACCGATTGCTCAAATCTTTTCTTGATAATCGAACCCGTCTCAATCAATTGCTTCATTCAAATCATACATGATAAAGTACTACATATTAATTTTACTCAAATAGGATTAGTTGATTAAAAAATAAAAACGTTTTTTTTCTTCTTCTTTGATTAGTTTAGTCTGTTAATATCTAACAGTTCTTTCATTTTGCTTCTAGTTTCTTTGTGCATGATCAAACGGTGACTTCGCTCTGTTGTTAATATACCGACAGTATCTTTGTTGATACCCACAATCGCTTTTTTTTCTATTTTTCTCCCCCTTGTATGCTATATATTTTATTACTATTATTTTGTCTTCTTTCTCAAACCTTTCAAGCTTGTAAGATCTGTTTTTTTGGCACTAAATATTAACGAGTCGGCCACTGCAATCGATCGTTCATCTGAAATTATATCTGTTTCTCGATATAGATATGAGTGAATTTTGAGTCAGAAATCGTGGCAAAATGATAAAAAACGAGGTGTGAAACGAAAATATATTATTTTTATCTTTATTCAATATAAAAATATATGTTTCAGCTCTGTTTATGATGATTTTTATCATAGATAAATATTTACTCAGAATAAAAGAATAAAATTTAAAGGATATTCTTTATCAGTATATTTCTTATTTTGATATGTTTGAACTCGTTCAGTTTTCATAGACAATTGAAATTCGCTTCTTCTCTTTTCAATCTATTCGCATTAACAAAGAGGGACGTACGTTAGAAAAATATTTATTTTGTTTTTATATTTACGACAGAAGGAATGCTAGAGAAAACAGGAAAAATAATACTGTCCTACGATGTGTAGCTTCAGACATGTTGTCTAGCAACAACCAAGAGTAGTAGCGTTGATAGAAATAGCAAGAGTTGATTGTGGATCTTCGTCTGAGAGGCCGTTGAATGTGGTGCCGGTACAAGACGATCTTCAGCAACCTAAAAAAATATAATAAAACGATCAACCGACGCTGTAATTTGAAACAACGAGGAAGTGAATAAATATGGCTTTTATTCGTCATAAATACAAGACTTGTGATAGTCAATACAGGCATCGTATTTCGAGAAAATGAATGATTTGTTGAATAAGAAAATTAAACTTCGTTTAGATTTGAGCTCAATAGCAAACTGTTTCGTATTCAGTTACAGTAGAAATATTGACTACCGACAGCTCAGATGAACCCGGTTTCCTTGTTTTACACAAGTTTTTTGTTGTAATATATATCTCTCTTTTCTTTCTGTAGAATAATTTCTTATCTATTGCTTAAAATAGATATAAACTCCTTCGTAGCAATAATTTTGTTCCACATAAAAAACATACATGAATCATAAGTGCCATGCCACGATCTAGATGAGGTTCGGTGTGACAATGCAGCATCCATATGCCAGGATTATTTGCTCGAAAACGAATTCTCAAATATCTAGAATAGACGAGTTCGTTTATTTTAGATGTTTTGATGAATCATGAAAATCACTCCTTCTTTTTACCCTCCACTCGGTATTATTGTTGTATCTTTGACAAGTTTGGTAGTTGTTTTACAATTGTTACAAACACATTTCATATCATCTTCATCGCATTCCACATTAGGATTGTTCGCCAGAAAAAGGCCAGTTGTTGTATTTAATTGAGCAAAGCCTTGATCGAGAACATGAAAAAATGAACCATGTAAATGTATCGGATGTTGATCGGAATCAAAATTAACAATAAAAAACTCGACTATATCATTGTATTCTGCCACTATATTATGATAACATTTTTGTCGCTTTATTTCTGAGCCTTCTAAAATATAATCTGAACAAGGCAGTTGTTCTCGTGCCAGTTTAGGATTGTTTAGTAGCGGTTGATCAGATTTCGGAAAAGCCATATTAAGATAATTGATTGCTTCATAACCAGATTCGTGTTCCGTAGCACCCACTACAGTTAATGAAAGTAGATGTTTGATTGTTACCTTTGTTGAATCAGCAATAAGTTCTTGATCGACATGCGCTGGATCCGTTGTCATATTGTGCATTGTCAAACAGATAGTATTCGGATCTGATCCATATTGAGTAAAAGGGCAATTTAAAGTGTAACATGGTTTTTGTGGCGAACAAGTTCGAGCAAGTGTCGCTGGTCGTGTCTGAGGATTGTTTCCTACCTGCAAAATAGCTCGAGCATGCCATCGACGATTATTGTTCTTGTCCATCGTTTTTACACGAATCCACCCTAAAATATTGTTGTTGCTGTTGTTTTTAAACGAATCTATTCCTAAATTCAAAACTATACGAATAACTTACATGCAGATTGATTTGATTGTTTTGTTATGTTGACAAGTACATCATATCGTTCTCCTAATCCAATGATCAGGTGATCGGCGATAACAGGCTGAGCAAATGGAATTCCATCGGATGCAATCACTTGTAATTGATGTTCATCAATAGAAAATACTAGTGAGAAAGTACTACCACCGTTAATTAAACGAATACGATATTGTGAATCTGATTCTTGAACAATGAGACGTTCTAGAGGGCTAGTCGTTGAATTTTCATTATTGCGTGAATCTACATATTGACCACGACCATTCACTAAGATCGACGTTACCAAGGCTTCAGCTGATCGCGAATTATCAACAGCTTGATAATAATCAATTGTACCCGATGAAATGAGAGATTCAAGATCATTCGGATAGAATTGGCCACTTTGAACAAGCATCTGATGTTGCTCACTAAAATGATGAAATCTATTGAAAACATAGTTGAATACAAAAATTTTACCCAGTGTAGAAATGTTGCCAATCTTGGAGAACGACAGTGAATTCTTTATATGTCTGTTGAGGCTTCGTTTTTGGATGTACAACGAACGCTCCAACTAATCCCATCGATGTTTGAGATTTAACATGAGAATGATACCAAAATGTGCCTTCATCGAATGCAGTGAATTCATGGTGAAAACTAGAGCCTGGCAATATCGAGAGTTGTGTTACACGACCAACACCATCGCTGCCCGGTGTGCCTACTTGTCGGATACCATGAAAATGAATGCTGAGAGATTCCGTCGAAAAATCATTGAAGATTCGTACCGAAATCTTTTGGTCTTGATAGACATGCAAGACAGGACCAGGCAGAGACTGGTTAAATACATACACCTAATCAAACGATTAGTTTAGACGTTATTTATACTTTTCTTCAACAGAATCTACAAAACTCACCAGCTTGGGATAGCCATCTGCAGTAATAATTTGTTCAGGTTCAAATTTATCATCGGGCTCATCGTATTTCTGTAAAATGCCATCATCAGTAGCGACAACACGATACAACTCCTTGTAAAACATTGTCATTGCACTGGCAGCATGTAGCACGAACGAACATGTTTTCATCGATGGTTGACATATTTTATTATCCGATAACCACGGGTCAAACGATTCAAGACCTTGAGTAGTGTACGGTAGGAAGATGCTGAAAAGTACCAGACACGACCACATTTCGAATTCTGCTTTGATGAAATTAAAGCTTTTCATATTTATCGATCACTTAGAAGTATTAAGTTTCGTATGTTTTGCTGTTAAAATGTTAACTACTAATCCTGCGTCATGATGTGTGTTGGACTTTTAGTGATGTTTTTTGTTAACAGGGTAAATATAGATATGGTATACGAAACCGTCACCAGGTGCAAACATTTTCTTCCTTTACGTTGCTGTCGCAACTGAAGATAAAATAGCAAATGCTTTCTGTTGTTGTCATAAGGTGAAACAAACACGAGCTTAAATGAGTGTCTCCGTAAGAAAAGTTCTGCGATTACATAATTTCGTTTCATAATCAATTGCAAGCGACCGTGATAAACTATGAAACTCTTTAGTTTACGTAAGAATGCATGTTTATCAGTACAACTATTTCTACTTGCTAGGAAGAATTTATGATTGGTTTTGAAATTTAAAGAATATAATAGATTGTCTTACTACCTGATATGCAACAAGCTTCGATATTACCATTGGTGCTTGAGGGTGGAATAAATCTAATTGAAATATACAGTCGTTTCACGGCTGATTCAGAAATAACAATTTAGGATCATATATATGTATTGAAACGATAAAAGGTAGTTATCGATGGTCCTGGATTGAAAGCGCGACTAAATAATTTTGCGAATTGTTCAGTTTTTCTTCTTTAACAGCAACATTGACAAATTCTGATCTATTATTCAAGTGATGCAAACTATAATACTTGGAAGACATTTAAGTAATTTACCTATGGCGTGTGCTGATCTATTAAACTTGTAAAATATCATCGCAGATGCGTAATCTCATCCAATGTCTACTTTCGTAATTTAAGCCTTGTTTTTTCATATCTTTATTTTGTTTGACAGGAACGATTATTTGTGCGACAATTTTTGTTTTTTTAAAGTGAATTGCTTCAAAAAGATCTAACACGAAATACTTGACTTATCTGATAAGCAAAAGAATAGAAAAGATTTTTTATCGATCGATTTATTTGTGAAATTCTCGAAATAGTCGATTACAAAACTAAGGGTCTATTTTTCTAATTTTAAAATAATCCCGCATAAAATGGCCACGTGGCAATACCACACATATTGGAATTTCGCTTAATTTTAATGTAGCCATTATCGCCCCACGAGGCACCCCAGGAATTTTTAACTAACCAATAATCTGTTCCATTTTCTGTACCATAACCAATAATAACCATAGCATGATTCATATTTTCATGAGTTGGACAGCCTGGAACATCGTAAATGCCGGTGGCGTAATGATCGAATTTGGTGGATGCTTCGCGAAGGACCGTATTGTTACCTTCACGTTTGCCCGCATTGTAATACACATAGATTGGACCTTGTTCATAGACAGTTTGTTTCATGTATGCTTCATTATTTGTTGGTAATTGACGATATTGAAGAGCGAATGTTTGATTATAGTTCAACACTTGGCCACTCGAATTTTGACATTTATCTTGTTTGGCACCGTTTGGTGTTGAGGGGTAATCTTTTTCTAAATTGAGTCGATCGCCATTATCCTTGATATATCTAAATGTGCCGACGAAACTACCACCTTCGCATCCACTTTCATAGGAACAATCGATCAATTGTTGTGCACTCAATGGGCCACTTGCATTGTAGATTTGTGCGTAGGTTTTTTCCAAAGCACCAACCATTGCAAAAGCATAACACGAACCACAGTGACGTTGATCTTTGATTGGTGTGACTGCATTGGGTACTCGAGTTTGATTTCTCCAATCGTAAGTATCCGGTACAGTAAGCGTTCGCTGTTGTACTGTACCAATTCGTGACATAGTTTTGATCGGTTCGACGGGAATTTTCGCTCGTATTGCTGCCGATTCTTCATCCGTCCAATCACTCATATGATTTAGTTTTAGTTTGAATGTTGATTGAGGATTTTGATTATGTGCAAGAATCATTTTCAGATTTTCTTTGAAGATTTCCTTGTGTTTCATTAGAATGGTCGAATCAAAGTCGCGTGATTGTTCTGCTCGAGGATATTTTTGTTGATAGTAACGATAGATACGCTCGACAAGGAGTGGATTTTTCTCAATGACATCCAATTTATTGTCATACTTTGATAGAAGTTGATCAACAAAATCTTGAATGGAATTCGAAGAGCTAGCAATTGATCCGATCAAGGACAGACCAACGACGAAGAAGAATAGGTATTGCATTGTTTTTCGATTTTTCACATAGAAGCAACGTTGGTTTCGACGACATATTGTTATATACGACTCGACTATGTTTCCATATGTTTCAGTTCTCAACATATAAACGTCATGTTAGAAAATAAATAATTTTTCTTATCTATCATTGAAAAGAGATACATAGAGGCGAAAAACTAAACGGCCAAAGTTCGAATTTCGTTCGTTATTGGCTATGAATCGGTTTTCGATCTAAGCAGCTGTGTGAGACGTGTCAGAAGGTCCATGGCTTCAAGGTTAACTGACAATGTGAGTAAAGTTTGACCTGAGTATGAAACAAGTGCAAGTGTGACCGTAAGTTTTACATCTATGCACATCTGTTGTTATTACAGCTTTTTCTTCTTGTGTTAGTGCAAGCTATATTATCAATTCAAAAAAAATCTTGAAGTCTTTTTCATATGCTACACAGTTTATCTATGATTGAGAACAAGACACACACGCACATAGACAAACCATGTTTTATTCAAGTTTATTACAATTTCATTCATATGTTCACTCTAATGTGAAGAAGAATTGAGACAAATCCATGCACGCATCGCACAAAACCAAGAGTATTAACGTCACTGTATACCAGCGATTGACTCACGAGGGAAATTTTCTTCTTGCTCGAAGACTTTTAATTCAGAATACTCTACAGCTAATCAAAAGTGATTTCTTCGTCGAAATTCGAACATCGACTTTTTCATTTGGATTTGTGTCATTTCGATTTATCTTCTTTTACGTTGGATGTTTATTTTATTTGAAAATGATCATACTCATCCAATAGATCAAATAACATAAAAGAGAATGTAATAAAAAGACAAACAGAAAAAAAAACCAAGACAATATGTAATGATATCTATTAACCTAAGGAGTAACAAGATAAAGAACAACAACGAAGAAAAAGTAAAGAATGTTCAGCCGGATGCCAAAATCAAGTTAAAATCAATATTGATTAATAATTGCTGATATACGTGCATTAATTTCACGTAATCGCGTACGAGCCACTTCTTCTTGAGTTAAATAAGCTGGCTTTGCTAATTTATTACCAACAAGTTTTTCAGCTAAGCCACTTAATACTTGTTGAATTTCACGTTGTTGAGTATCGAGTCGTTGTAATTCGGCAATCTAACAGACGAATACAAGGAAAATAAATAATTAAATGTTACAAACTAAAAATTCGAACCTTCTCAGCTGAATCAGCACTATCAGCTTTAACTTTTGCTTGTAAACCTGCTAAATCTTGTTGAACAGTTTTAAGTTCATTTTCGATTTTTTTACGTTGTTCATTGTAACCCTTTAAGTCTTTATTTGTTTTGTATGTATTCAATGCATCATCGATTTTTTGATAGAATCCTGTTCGTTTTAAATTATTTTCAACAACTTGATCCCAAACAGCTTGAACACGCATACGAGCTTCGCTAATTTCATTGCGTGATATAGAAAAATTCAAACGAACCAAGATAATGACTAAGCAGAATAAACCAAATAATGGGCCAACAAGTAACATTGGTTCATTGAATAACATAATCTTATCGAATGTATAATGAATTTCGAAATCTTGAATATGTTGAAAGAGAACATTACGTTTCGTTATGACAACAACTGGCCGACCGACTGTATCCAAATAGGTATAATGTTTTTCATTTGGTAAACGTTCTACACCGTAGGGTGGTGGATAAAATTCAATATTACGCGTATGTTCAGGTAAAACAATTCGAATTGTAACTTGTTCAAGTAATTGATCATCATAAACATGATCGACGAGACGCATTTTAAGAACATATTGATTTCCTCTATAACAAAAAAAAAGAAACTGTGTTATGATTCCAATCTTTTTATTTAGCTATTTAAAGGACACTGCTCGCTAAGACTATCGTCTACGAGTAACACTGATCTGTCTATCTTACTTGTTAAAAAGATATTGATACGATGGAACATTGTAGCCGAGCATATAATGGGTTCTCCAACCGCCGAATAATGGAAAACGTGGCCGAATTTCAACTTCGACTTGATCTTGCATTTCTTTAACGTGACTTGTTGAAACATTACCGATTTCATCACGATAGTAAACATCACGAGCTGACGCTGGTAATGATGTCTAGAAAATGTCGGAATTCGTAAGAATTTAAAATAGAATTTTTGCTTTTACTTTGAATGTTTTCACAGCCGAGAGACTATCGGGTCGCCGTTGAAAGTCAAGTCTTGAAAAAGGTCCTTTCAATTTAGCGCCACTATGATACATATCAATAGTTTCTTCAACAGCAACATTTCCCCAATGTGAAACTTCAATCCAACGATTCAAATTACTAACAGTTAAAAATGGATTATTATTTTCATAATGCAATGTTATTTCGCTTCGTGTTAATGCAGCAACATTTTCATAGGGACCATAGGTTATTGTTTGTTCGCTTTTAGCAACTGGTTTTGGTGTTTGTGTGTAGGATTCAGCACGATCCGTTGGTAATGTGACAGTTGTTTTTTGTGTTTGTGTTGTATAACGTGAATAGTAATATGGATTGGCTTTGTATAAAACTAATTGTCGTTCAGTTTGTGTAATTTCAGCTGGATATAAACGAAGAGCATTTACATGAGCAACTTCAATTTCAAGCGTAATAGTTTGACCAGCACGAAGATCATTTGGTAATGCAATACGATAAACAGCTCCTCTGTAAATATGAAAATGTTTTTTTTCTTCTAAATTTGTTTTAGTTTTTACGTACTTTGTTTTATCAGTGGTTTCTTGTTTTATTACTAAATTTCCTTGATCATCATTGTCTTTACCTTTGACCTGAGACGAGAAAAATAAAAAATACTTTTTTGTTTCTACTCGAGGGGACAAGTACGATTAACTTACAGCAGCACCAACATAAGCAACATTATTAACATGTTGTGGTTCAACATAATAATCATAATAACGAGTTGCTTTTGTTCCTCGATTTTCAATTGTTACACTAATGATTTCTTTAGGTAAATGTGAAACAAGATCAAGTGTTCGTTCAACATTGCTGTTTATTAAACCATCCTGATCTTGACCAGTAACAAAAACAATCGTAGCAAATATACAAAAAAATGATAGGCGCATCATCTAAAAAATAATTGAGTATATTTAAACAATGGAATAGTTAGAAACTTCAATAGAATTTAAGAAGTGTCGCGACGTAAATCCTCTCTCAAACGACGATTAAATGGTGACAGCGCGTCGGACGAGGGAAAGAAGAACGCCTCGACCAATGAAAAAAGAGTTTTTAACCTCAAGCGATTATTTTTTTAAATTTTTTTCAAAACATTAAAACGCCTACAAAAAAATCCAATAAATGAATTTTATTAATACAAATATCGAGATATCAATTTTAGACAAAGTGCATAAGTGTATTGATGATGGCTACATGAGTGCCACGAATGCGAAAAAAAAGAAGTTTATATTTTCATGACGAGCTGTGCATCGGTAATTGACAGCATATGCATGATAGGCATATTGTTTATAACAGATACAATTGATGCTTTATTTTAATAATAAGAAAAATAAATTTTTTCTTTTTATTTTGCTTTCTTATTCTTCATTATTTTTACAAATCAACCCATAGATGGAGAGTGTAGCACTAAAATGAAAAAGTCAGAATATTGATTATAACATAGGTTATAAAATAAATGAATACGAAAATTGCACTAATTTTATCATCAATAGACATTGCGCTGGATCAGGGTTATCATGACCACAGTCATTATCACCACTAGTATTCAATGTTATCTTAGGTCATGCAAATTCGCACACATACACACACTAGTACATAATCGGATATTAGTGCATTCCATAAATCAGTATTCACGATCGTATTTCTAGTCGTATGATAAATAGTAATACGACCGTCTGCATTGTTTCTCTCAGGATATCGATTCTTACAATTACTAGTGCATATACAACCGTTAGAAAGAATAGTTTAGTTCATATATCAATAGTCACATTATTATAATTAAAAAAAAAACTCCGATGATCAATCATGATGATCGCTTGCTTTCATCGCAAGCGATTGATAAGTTTTATGCATTGTACTTAAATTTTGTTATTCATCAGCTATCAATGTTCAACAAGTTGATGTAACAATAATTTCGTTTGTCGTATTTTTAGAATTATTTAAAACTAATGATGATGTTTGATAGGATGTATCGCAAGTTAAAATCAATGATAATGCTTGACTTCGAAGCGGACGTAAATCATCTTCTGTTGCTGTTGTTGTAATCGTTTCGTCAATATTTGAATTTAATTGAGGTGATAATCCTTTTGTTAATGTTGGCATTTGAATTTCTAATGATGACGAACTTTTTTCACGTTGTTCTTCAAGTGTCTCAATAATTTGTAATATAATAATAACTATGATTGTTCCCATATAAAATGCAAATATACTTATAGCTATATAGACCAGTGAGAAGCGTTCGGGATGATCTTCAGCTTGTACAACACAAAAAATAGCAACACCGGCAAGAACCAGATTTAATATTCCAACAATATAAACTAATTGTTGAGCAAACATTTGTGCATTTGTCGACAGAATAATGAAAAAATAATCATATTTCTTTTGTCTTCCAGAGAAAAAATGTTAACATGCATATTATTTTGGATGTATTCAAAGCATCGAATTTCATTTATGAAAGTTGCAAACATCTTTCCAAGATGATCTTTACGATGAAGAATAAGAAATAATACGAATATTATTATTCTGCACAATTCGCCGAGACTGTCAACTTCTCAATAGAGTTTAAATTGTATATGTATTGTATTCGATTGCAATTCGATCTTCTACTTTTCGTCATTACCATTGACAGCTGCATCGATGTTAATGATTTATTTTACAAGAAAAAGAACCTAAAAGAACATTTTTATCTTCTAGAAAGAAAAATAGATAAACAATTCAATTGATAAGACATGCATGTGCCATTCTAGCTGGAAAACTTTAGGTCATGTCACATGCTACGGCATCGTTTGCGTAGGCCTCGAAATCTATACTCTGGATTGCCCTAGGGCATTGATAAGGGATATTAAAGATATATATATATATATATAATTCTCGTTGCTTTTGCTTCCAATCGCAAGTCAGATGAAACATGTATACATTACAAAAAAAACCGATACACATGCCAATTACTGACTCTTCATAAACTGGCGTAATAGGCGCACAAAAGTATTCCTAAAAAAAGAAGTACGAGACCTTACAGAAATTGATACCAATCATTCTATATATATATATACAAACACAACTGTTGTCGAGGTCAGAATAGAGTCCAAGATCAAATTATAACTACTGCGTTATTTTTCGATTGTTATAAACGAACAGAAAACACCGAATAGAACTATGAAAATATTGTGTCTTTCGTTTATGATCATCGGTTTTGTCTTCATGAAATTTCTGCAATGCAAAGGGCAGGAACCTATCGGACAACAGGTAAAAATGAAATCAACGTTATTTTTCCTAATAATGATATTGACAGAAAAAATATAATATTAATAACTACAGAAAAAGAAAGCATTGTAACTAACGGTAGAAACGAGCCAGCTGCTTATCTCGTTATCCTTTTCTCTTAGAAGACAAACAATGCTAGAGTTAAATATTAAAATAACATCAACCAGATTTTGTTTTTGATCAAGTCAAATGCTTTGTGTTTTCTTTTCAATCCTACCAACGATAGAACAATACATCACGTGAAGTAACAAACTCGGCCCAAGTTACATTACCAACAACAACATCGAAATTATCGATTCAAGAGAGATTGCAGGTATGATTCCTCTTAGCAATTTTTTTATGATCAATAAACAACAGGTCTAACTATTCTACTTCAGAAATATCTCAAAACAACGGTATCGAAAAGCGAAGTACGTATGTTTTCATACAAATCTGACAGTTGATTATACATATTATCTACATAAGAATGGACCATTAGTAAATAACATCAATAGTTACAATCAAAAGATTATTGTAGAACAACAGTTCGACGGATGTATTATTTCCATAGTTTTGAATCTACTCGATATCCATGCCACTATCCGATGGCATACTTGTGCATTTTGTTTTTCTAGAACTTATCTAATAGATATAAATGGTGGTCGTTTGGTTAGTTTCTGTTCTAATTCAATTTCAACATGTGAGTAATTCCTATGCTTCCAATCTTATGTATTCAATCAACTGTTGGACAGAGTTCCTTTAGTTTGTTTTTTTTTCGAACTTTTATGTTTCCATTGTTGCTACTGTTTTCATCACTATATGCGTATTTCTATTTTAGACAATGAAATCTGGAAATATGACAAGTAAGGCTACGGTATCAAATAGGGCAAGTTTTTTTTTGACGATTATCTTCTTGTAATCAGTTCACATTTTTTTCTAGACTGGTATTACTCCACCTAATAATATTTTTCGTGAATATTTACGTTGTCGTCATTGGAGTTCAATCAATGGATTACCGTGTAATTTTGAATTTTATTTTGTCCGATTATTTTGTTCCATGATTATTTCATGTAGCACCTTATGCATGTCCCTATGACTTCGAGGACGATATTCGTGTCTGTTGGCCAGCAACACATAATGGTACAATAGCTACAAGTATCATCGAATATGATCATGGTCAAAATAATTTTTATGACGGTGTTCGTTATGGAATTGAGAATTGTTTGTTTGAAGCGTTGTTGTTGCTTTTTCATTGGATTAATTTGATATTTATGTTTTGCAGGTACTCTAGAACGCTTTTGTCAAAGTAATGGCAGTTGGGCAATGACTGTTTTGCCCGACATTCAATGTAAATCATGTGTTGGCGATGGCCGACCAGTTAAAGTAATTAAAGAGAATGTTTTCTTTCGGAAATCAATTAATTATTTTTCTATGTTTAGTTTAATTCAATTAGTATTATGATTGAAACAATGAGTTTAAGTTTATCGCTTATAACTCTAACGATTGCTGTTTTTTGCATGATGAACGTCAAGTATGTTTCGTATTTTTATGTAAAAGTTTTTTGTTTAAAATTACCTGACGCAAGCAGTTCTTATGTATCCCCGCGACCTCCTAAACATCGTTTTTGTATTATTCCTCCGGATGCGCCGCATCTTTGCAAATTTTTCCTATTGTTTAGACGACTCCGCTTACCCCGAAACCTGCTTCATATGCATCTATTTGTTGCTTTTATTTTTCGTTCCATTGTCAAATTGGTTTTTATTCATCTTATTATTGGTGGCTACACACGTACTATGATATCCTCTACAAGAGACAAATGTGGAAATATCGAAATACTTTCGAAATCCTCAAATTTATTTCATGCAAGTCTATTATGTCACAGGGTCTCGATAAACTTACGAATCGCATGTGTTTGATTTCTTTAGATAACAGGTTGTCGGGTATTATCTTCATTATTTTGGTATACTGATGCTGTATCGCAAACGTTTATATTTTGTGAAGCAATGTTTCTATTTACAGCGTTAACAAGTCATTTATTTCGTGATCGCGGCTGTTTACCATTTGTTCTATGGGGTTGGTTAAGTCCATTAGTATGGTCAACATTGTGGATTGCATCACATATAATAACAGATAGATTAAAAAATCGATCAACATGTTGGTTGGAAGCAGATAATACAACGTATTTTTATTACTTTTTTTATGTTCCATATGCTCTTTATTTACTTGTGAATTTCGGAATATTTCTTTATCTTGTTCGACTTCTCTACTCGAAATATCAATCATATAATCTTCAAACAAATCGTACAGGAAATCGGTAAATATTCATCGAGAAGCTTTTTTTTTCATCGTGATAAATCTGCTTGTTTTCAGACATTTAATAAAATCAATTCTAATTTTAATTCCACTATTTGGTCTTCATTCATTATTTGTCATATGGGTTTTCTATCATAAAAATCAAGGACATACAATATGGTATTATATATCGGTTATTTTCAAAGCTGTTTTTGGTGATCTACAGGTACAACTGATAGCTACCATTTGTTGATTGCATGAAAATAATTTTTTTCTAATTTAAGGGCTTTTTTACATCATTAATTTATTTTTATTTTAATACTGAAATACGTTTTGAAGTACTTCGGCAAGTTCAACGAGCAATACTAAACAATGAAACTGTACGACTTAGCTCAGCTGGTGATACATTATCAACACGTTTATCAACATTTCGTCGATCAATAAGTCGTCATCGTCATTCATCAATACAGAATCGTAATGAAAGACGTCGTATGAATAATACATCGTATGCGAATTCATCATTAACCAAATCGAAAAATAAAACATGCTGGAGTAAATGTTTTACATTGATTTGTCCTTGTTTCGTGAGAAAGCTCATCGAGAAAAAATCTCGTCAAGATGAACAACCTGTTGAACAAAATAATTTATACGAACCATCACCATCAGCTTTAGCACCTCAAGTATTTGTTATCGATGATATTGGAGGTGTATCATCACAGTTACTGGTACAAACACAATCAATAAAAGGTGTAATCGATAATGACGGTATGACATGTGATACAGATTTAATGAAACATGAATATTCAGAATTATTAACCGATGAAAACGATGTAACTATTCAGCAATCATCATTTCAAGGTGAACAACCATCATCATCATCATCGCATCATACACCATTACCAGTGCGCTCGAAGAGTCTACAACGGAATCGATCAAATAGTGACGAACATATTTTAACAGGTTTATCATCGAATCACTTTGCTGACAACAGATCATTGAGATAAATGAGAGAATGTTTTTACCAGTGAACTTCTCATTCGTTGATATTCATGTACAGAGCAAATTTTACTTTTTTGCATTCCTCTGTTATTTTATGTTAATGAAAACTTCAATACGATAAAAATCTTATGTTTTGAATGATTAATAATGATGCATGCTTTTTCAAAACGAAAAAAAAGAGATTGCGATCAGAAATCTTTTTTTTTCGCTTCATTATGAAAATCGCTGATGAGACAAACCAAGGTCTCTTCAGTGGTCTCAATTGCGTTTTGTTGAACTTTCTGAGTGTCATATGTTTGCATACTTGTTTTACTACTATGGCACCCACACCCTCAAGAAACACTTTTCCGTAAGGAATCCATGAGCATGATCTTCAAATACAGTTAATCTCTGTCCACTAAAATATCTATAATGATTGACACCTGAGATAGTTTGAAACTATAGGCGTAGTTTTTCTTAAACATACTGCACACTCTGAATCCATCTGATGATAACCCTTAACAAAATCTGAATCATGAGATTTGCTTGATACACATATATCGAATTCTTTTATTTAATGAATCAACCTAGATTGTAACTAGGAAAATATAGTTGTTTAAAATACATTGATTCAAAAGTCCTGTTACTGATTTCAGCAGAGGTTCACACTATACATCAAGATATTGGATACTGCCAAAATTGTTGATTGCTGTTCGTTGAGGACGTACATTATCGGAACAAGTTGTGAACTTTGTTCCATGGAAATAAAGACTAAATAGATCTCCTGTGCAGTTGTTCTTTAGCGTTTCTAAGTCAGATAAATGAACATCACCCATTGTTTGATTATCAGTATTAATCTTCGAACCATCTTTTATATCCTTATCTGTTAATAGCTGACGCTCGGCTAGACAAGTATTCGGAAGTATTTGGCTATCACTTGAATTTAAAGCATTTTCACCACTAGACTTACTCATATTGTCATTAGTATTATTAGTAGCAGGGGTCTGTGCTAGAAGCTTGTTCCTAAGAGTAGAGGTAATACACGTATCTGTATAGGAGACATAGAAAAGAAGGAAAAACGCTTACTGTTTTTGTTGAATTATTTTTTCAAAATACTGAATGTATCTAGGCATTGTGATGATATTGAAATAATCATTAATTTTTCTTATTATGTAGCTTTCTGCTTGTTCGTCACACATAACTAAGTTTATGTCGATTACTTTACAATCCGTTCTCTGCTTGATTGATTTTATTTGGAAGATCGTACCAAATATAAATAAGACCTCTTTCTCGTCAGTAATCTTACTAAAATGTGAAATTGATGCAAAATATTTGCTTCTTCGTATTTGATCGTCATTCAATTTAATATTGAATAGGACTGATTTATAAGCTGGCAAACTAGTTCCATATCCAGAAAAAAATAGAGCAGAATCACGATCAGTTGTAGCAGACAAAAATGTAGTAGCCGAAATAAATCTATTGATGTTTGCTTTTAGGTCTTTAAATTCTTTTAAATTCATTAATTGGCCTCGGTATACGGTTTTTGTTTGTTCTGGAATGAATAGAAAATGTTCGGGTTGGACTTTTGTTAACTGTTCATACAAATCTGTAATATATATTCGGAAATCTAATATATCGCTAATATTACCAGCCCGCAACACTGTGTTAACCAGCCGATATAAAAACGAATCTTTTGTATACCATGCAATTGCTTGATCAGATTGATAGTTTTTTTCGAAGTCATTGATTTTAACTAGTTCAGATTTGTTGTTAGCATAATATAAACGACATTGTTGCAACATTTGTTTGTTAAGCGAATCACATTGTTGCAGTGACATTAGCTGAAGTATTTTCAATAGCTGTAGCAGAATGATATTAGAAAAATCATCTAATTCTTCTACTAATTTTGGGCTATTTTCTCGAGTGGTTACGGTTACACCAACTAGCCACATATTTACCTTAATTTCTTCAACAGAATTCAACCAAAAGAGACTTCCAGGATAAAATAAGAATGTTTGTTCGTCTATGCACACTCCATACTTTCCAATATAAGCAGCTGGTTTGAACGCTGTCTGATTCGTATCGAATTCAATCTCAATTATTACTGAACAGAGAGATACATCAGAATAACCATCACCGGAAAACGCAGAAGCAACGTTACCATCACGACTTGATGATAATAATGTATTACTTGAAACAAGGGAACCTACATGTTACTTTAACTGTTCTAGTTCTGTCTTATACATTAATTGACCTCGATAAGTAGTACAACGTGAATCGAATTCTTTGTAGTTCTTGTATATATAATCGAGCTGATTACGAATGTCAACCAGAAAAAAATCGAAATAGGATATAATTTGTACGTTGTCTGTTCGAAGAGCAGAGTTTAATACACGATACAGCCACCAGTCACGATTAAACCATAACACTGAATCCTCTGGACGGTAAAATTTGTCAAACTCTTCGATCTTTTGTATCTCACATGCGTTTTCCGAGTAAACCGATTTCAAGTGTAGAATAAGTTGTTGTTTTGATGAATCTGCTGCTGAAGTATGTAGTAAATCCAGCAATAATAGAAAACAATTAAATCTTAATTTTTGCGCATCTAAGCATTTCATTGTTGATCCTACAGATGTTTTCGAGTATTCCGACAAATCATAGCGTAGTGATTTTAAAAGAACGTCAATGTCTGTGAAATATCCACCATTATGTTGAAATTTCTTGGCCCATGGTGCATATTTACATTCCAATTTCGGTTCTGGTAAAAATATGCATATACGTACATTGTCTGATAATGGATAAAGTAAACAGGAATCTAATTGGTCAAGTATGCCGTCCACTATCAAGAAACATAGTCGGTCTCCTTCATTCATTGATGATAGGTAAGAAGCACATTCATTTACATCGTGAAATATTTTCGTATGATTAATGACTTCCCGTATACGTGCAATATTTTGATAGTATTCAGACGTGCTTTGATTTCGTGTATCAAGCCAAATAGTGGTGACTTCGTTATTTATATTTACGTCACATTGCTGATTATTGAAATCCCAGACAATGCTAAATGTTTGTTCACCACATTGGTCTCTAATGTTCAAAACAGAAGCATAGAAATGCACTTGAACTGAAGCTGAAAATTAAGTTCTGTATTTTAACTAAGTGGCTGCGGCAAAAAACAAAACCCATCTCGAAATAGAAGACTTCCCTTTCATATCACGTTTGAGCGTTAAAAGTTTCAAAACGTTTCTTCTTACACGAAATAGATTTTTGTCAAGGTAGTCCTCTAATAGGTAGAAGGATGAGAAGTTAATTCAAATCCGGTATTTCATGGGAAAAAAAAAGAAGATACATGCTTAATGACCCCACTCTTAGGCTTGTTGATATTTTACAAAGGTGTAGTGTAACGAGTAATGTATTCCATAACGTTTTTGCCACTTACTCAACTTGTTGTGCCATCATAAATAGATTTAATTATTGGAAATGATTTGTCTAGTAGATATTAAGATTATTCCCCACCAATTATTTGCAAAACAAGTCGTTGAAAAAAGTCAAAATATGAAAAGAAAAATAATAAAGTGCAATAAGTGCTTTATTGATATAAAATTGGGGTATGGGTGCGATAAATATATGAGAAAATGCATATCTATACCAAAACACTTAGTGGTTTTAAACTTTGATCTTTCGAATGCTGATAAAAAAAGCTACCATGGATTGATCCTGTGGTCGATACATTGGAGAAACCCTCGGTTCGCTCGTGAAAGGTCTGTTAGAAATCTATATTATAGTCATCTTTGATTGAAAAGAAATCATACAGGTAGTTTGATCCCTATTGCAATTGAGCATAATGGGTACTTCGAAGTAAATCTAATCCAAATGATAATTCAGCTTCGCTTCAATTCGACATTGCTCGTGCGGTGTTTTTTAGAAGGTTGGAGAAAACCAAAGCATGTGGGAAATCAACTTGGGCATTTGTCGATCATATATGTCAAACTTGAAAGTTGAAAATTTCAACTTCAGTCGAATTCAAGTTTCAAGTTTGACACTACTGCACTTGTGGTATAGGCATACGAAAATAATGAGTGAAAAATTCTAGATATTATCTTTTACTTAAGCTAATAGCAGTTGTAAATTATTATACAAATAAAAGATTTTTGTTGCTAGCAAACCTGATGCTCAACTATAGTTTCTGCATATTGGTGCTTTCTATCTTTGCCAGTTTTCATTGATTGAAGCCATCATTCATCAAACAGATTTACAATGCGTGGTAATGTGTCGTATTCGTACCAGCTTCGCACTACTAGAAAGAGAATGGCAAAGATTGTGGCACGTGGTGTATATGCACCACTATCTTACAGACAGAATTAAAACTTGTTTGTGCGTCTCATCTTCCAACTCAAGTGGAAAAGAACACCTTTCGTTTTCTTGGAACTTTGACTCAAAATTTACATCCACTTACGTTCTATTTTTCCAAGTAACATCGTAATCACAACTGATATGTGTCACAAAGTTAATTTTCCCTCATA